TTTATGAATATATTATGAAATACTTTATTGAAAATCATGAAGATTATATAAAAGAAAATCCAGTTAAAATTTTACAATTGATTTATGCTAATGAAAAATTTATTGAATTGAAAAATATCTATTTAGAAAAGTTTTGCAATTATAGTGAAAAATTATTTGAATCAAGTGGATTTGAATTGTTGGAAAAACCAATTTTACTAGAAATTCTCAAAAGAGATGATTTTTCAGTTGATGAAATAATTATTTGGGAAAATATTCTTAAATGGGGTTTGGCAAAACATCCAGAAATCAATAATATCAATGTTGAAGATTGGCCATTACAAAATTTTGTTAATTTAGGCAACACATTAAAAGAATTTCTTTAATAAGATTTCAAGGGATTTCTAAAGAAGACTTTTTTAATAAAATTGAACCATATAATCTGCTTTTTCCTAGGACTCTATGGAAACCACTTTTACAGCATTATGTATTTCCTGATATACAACAAACATTGAGTTTATTACCATCAAGGAATCCTAAATTTGAAATTTTGAATTCAACACTTGAATCATTGACAATCAATCAAAATCTTACTTTACTTTTTGCAAGTTGGATTGATAGAAAAAGCCCACAATATAGTTCATTAAGGGAAGTTAAATATGAATTCAAACTTATATATCGTAGTAGCAGAGATGGTTTAAGTGTAGCCACCTTTCATCAAAAATGCAATAATATCAATAAAACTCTTATAGTTGGCAAAATACAAAATTCAGATCAATTAGTAGGAGGTTATAACCCACTTAATTGGAATTTAAATAATGGAAGTTATATAGCTAAAAATACAACTGAAAGTTTTATTTTTAATATTAGCAATAGAAATAACATTAATTCTGGACAGTTTAGTTATGTTACTAATGATTATCAATATGCAATTCGCTGTCATCCTTTATATTTAGCTGTTTTTGGTGGTAATAATGATCTTCTTTTTTATCCAATCAGCACCATTTACAGTATTAGTTGGTCATATAATAATATTAATATAGTGAGTGGTAGTAAATTTGATGAATTAGAAGTATTTCAAATAATAAAATTACAAAAATAATTATTTTGTTTTACTATTTTACCAATAAATTTATATGTATTATAGTTAATACGGATATTTTTTTTAAATAAAGGTTATTTTATTTTAAAGGCTACTTAATACTCTTCTCTCAATAATAATACTCGTCATACATAATATATTCCATTCATTCAACAATAATTCAAATAATAATATTGTATAATGGACATAAAAAATGATTTTTATCAAGTAACGTGAGCAGTATGTTAAATTCAAATTTAGGGAATGTTAGTGATGTAAGAATAAGTTCTACGAATAATAAAAAAGCTTGTTACCAGAGTGGATTGTAGTTGATTCCTTGCCTTTTAATGTATTTGCTTCAAGAAAAGGTTTCAAGAGATTCATTCATAAAGCAGATTCATCAAGGTTCATGCTCCATGTTACAAATTAAAGATTTAACCCTTAGTTGTGGACTGCAAGATCTAAATTATGATACATAGGATCGGGGTAACTTACCATTGGCCTTCACCAAATTACTAATTATTTGACGAATTGCTTGCTAAAGTCGAGTTTATACATACTTAGTTCGAGCCAACTCGAAATTTAATATTATTTTCTTTTTTATAAAATCACGATAGTTGAATTTTAGCATCATCATCAATGACAAACTAAAATTTTAAAAAATTTTTTTTTAGATGAAACACAGTTAAACCTCGTTTCAACTAATCCGTGCATTTAAAATTTATACCAAAATTACGTTTCAATGTTTTTAAAAACTCGTTGTAATTATAACAAGGTTTAACTGTATGAAATTTCACAATATGGAGAATTAAAACGGAATGCAAAAACGTTTTAGAGTTTCTAATTCGTGGTAGTAACATTCGAATTATTTGTTTATTCGTTTTATTCAAATTATTCGTTTTATTCGAATACTTAATTCATAACAAATAAAACAAATAATTCGAATAAACCTTATTCGAATAGAAACTACAAGTTGAGCAAGCTCGAGTTAAAACTTGAATTTTCAAGTTCGAGCTGAATTCAAAAAATAGACTCTTTAAATTGTTTTTTAGGTAATAGATTGCATTAAATAAAATAAAACCTTATGAAATAATAGGATAATAATTCGTTACCTGAAAAATCAAACTTGAACCGCTTCAGCTCGTTCAGAGCTTTACTTTCCACTCGCAATTTAAAGTACAAGAAGAAAATTCAAGATCATCATTACAACAAACAAAAGTTACTCCTTTTTTTGAATCCATTTTTGATAATCAAAGTGACAAAGAATTTTCTCAAGTATTTGGATATTCAATTAATACAACCTTGGATTTGAATTTCCAATTCTTTCAACCATTGAAGGAAAATTGCAATATCAGCTACATCTAAAAAGAACAAGATTAGGATCGATGAGGTCAAAAATCGAAGAAATGGATCTATACTATTTTAAATAAATATTTATCTTTTTCGTTCAACCGTTAATGGAGCAACTTCAAAATAGAAAGATTTATCATCCTGTAGGTTGAAATCTTGCATTCATTGCTGGTGATAAGAGTGTAAAACATATCCATTTGCATTTTGCTCCTAAGAAAGATCGTAGACATTACTGGGTGAAAGAGGAAGAGTTTGTACCTATTGCCAAACAAATGCCAAGAAAAACTTGAAATTAAACCAGGAATAATTGGAGAAACTAATAATTGCATTTCCCAATTAGCTTCTCCGGAAGGACCTTTAACCAAAGAACACATATCGTCAATTCTAAAAAAGCTATCAAAGAAAACCTGGGATCAAATTGGTGAGCTTCTTTTAGATGATGCAAAGATAAAGAAAAAAAATCAGCGATCTAAAAACTCTGTAGGTTAACATTATCCTGGGCAAATGACTTGAATTGGACAAACTGATTACTGGGGTTTCAGGTTCATATAATTCCTTGATTTGCTTATGTCAATTATGTTCCAGGAGGCTACGTACGAGGAAAAAACCAGGTGGAGGATAAAATAGATTTTAGAAAATTAGAAATCAGAGAAATAACAAGAAACAAAGAGCAGTAGGTTATATTTTTGGTTTGGTTACCGTGGAGGCTATTGAATAATTAAAGGATGTGTGTAAAAATAAAACATTCAATCTAGATGGTCACATTTAATACTATTACTATTACGATTTTGAACCCTAAAATCCTTTGTAGTACAAATGTTCACTTGGTTTTGTTTGCTCCATATAATAGCAACACTATTACTATTACTTTTATTGTAATGACAATCTAAACATCAACATATATGTATGTATGTATTCATCTTATTTCTAATTATCATTATATAATGAATCTTCTTTCCTTGCACGACATATCATTCATTACTAAAAAGGAGAAACATATCAAAAAAAGTATAAATTTTTTATTATATTATTATTTATATTTTTAAATTTTTTTTTCTTTTTTTAAAAAAAAATCAATTGTCTAAATACCAGATTTTTATATGCGTGTATATACATATACGATTTTTCTTTGATTTTTTAAAAAAAAATTAATAATTAATACAATTAATTAAAGCAATTTTCTTTTTTTTTTATATATTTCAATTTTTTTCTATTATAATTAATTAAAATAATAATAATAATAAGTTGAATTAATAAAAGAGTGTAAAAATATATATATTTATATTATATTATTATCATCATTAAAATTTTTTAACAAAAATTCTATCTATTAATTAAAAAAGTATTACACAAAAAATAATAATAATAATAAAAAACCAACTTTAAAAATAATTGCTATACAATTAATGATTGAAGTAGTAGAAAAATTAATTGGTTAATTGTATTTTACATTTGAAAATTGTATATGAGAAAGTTGATAATTGATGGAGATTTTTCTCCAAAAAAAAAATAAAAAAAATTTGTTGAAAAAAAAAACAAGGAAAAAAAAAATTTTTTTTTTAAAGTAGCAGAAAATAGAAAAAATAATGTTTTTGTTTTATTTATAAATAAAGTAAAAATTAAGAAGTAGAAAATAATTAAAAAATTATCTAATCCAAAATGAAATAAAAAGGAAAAAGAAAATAAAAAAAAGATTGTATTATATTAAGTTGGTGTAATTATGTGTATAAATTATGGTGTGATTGTTGTTGAATGAATGGTAATAGTTAGAATGAGGGAAAGAGAAAAAGGGATGGAAATCTAAAGTTAAAAATAATTTGGCGTCCTTGAACTTTTGCCCCTTGAGATTTTTTTTCTTGAATTTTTATTTCCTGGTCAACCTGAAATGATTAATGATGTTGATTTTGATTTTCATTGAGATAAAAGATGATTTCGTTGGTTTGATGGATGATAGGTGGATATATTTGGATAAGTGGTAGTGGTAGGTAGTATTGGTTATACAGTTGGATTAATGGTAGTAGTTTTGTTTTAAGATTAATTTATATATAGTTTTGAAAAGAAAATTAGAAAAATATAGATTAGATAAAAATATTATTATGTTATGATTTTGTGTATATGTATGTATATATATTGTTATCCTACAATTGCTATCTATATATTAATTAAGACTAATAATAATTTATAATAATAAGATCTTTAAATTGTTCCTCTTTTCTCTCCCGCATTTTTCCATAATTTAATAATAATTCGTATATATATATATATATATATATATATATATATACTCTCCGTACAATCAACAATATATATATCTATTTTAAATCACGTCAATATACATATAGTGTGTATATGTAGATAGGTTTTTATTTGTTTTCCCTTCCCAAAAATAAGTTGAATTCTACATACGCGAACAATAGATGAACACGTATTATATTTCAGATTGGTATATAAATAAAAACTGAAATAACACAAAAATAAAAAAAAAAATAACAAAAGAAAAAAAACCAGAAAGAAAATATTTTCATTTCTTTTTTTTTTTTTCAAAACAATTTGAACATGATAATAATAATAATAATAAATAATTAAAAACTTAGCTACACATACTACATGTAATAACTCCAATCAATTTTTGTAAAAATCCTTTTCTTCTATGGGAATTTGAATCTGCCGGATTGTTTCCTTGAACACCCGATGAATTATTTATACCGCCATTTCCACCGTTCATTACAGGTCGGCCAGAATATGCATTTATATCATCCATTCCGGAATTCATGACCGCAACACCGCCGGTATGTTTTTGTGGTTTACCACCAGCTCGTTGTGGTTTTGTGTTTGATGAATGGATTAGAGCAGGTGAAGGTTGTGTTTGTTGTTGATTATTACGGTTCACTGATGATCCACGATTAAGCGAGGATCGATGATTATGATTGCGTGGATCGGTATGATATTGATGATGGGAGGGTTGATGAATTGCACCTGTTGTACTATATTGCTGAGAGGAACCACCGTGAAGTGTTATGTGAGGGTTAGTGTCAGGATTGAGTGTGTTATCATCTTTCCGCTATTGACATGCATAACAATTAATATACAGATCAAAAAGCGAAGAAGATTAAATGGTAGATAACAACACATACATATATAACATATGTGTACATGTGTGGATATATCTATTATTTGATATAAAACAAAACTTACAATGCTTGCCTCCCAGCCCCTTCCACCATTTAATAAATTCCAATCGTAAACACCATCTTCAACTTCACTGAGATTTTTTAATACTTTTGTAAAAAGTTCTCTCAAAAAATCGTAATCAGGATTTTCTTCAAATCCAAGTTTACGAACGTAATTTAAATAAATTCCAAATTCCTCTACAAATAAACAAGTATAAATTAGATTAATGTAAAGAAATATATGTACATAGATATATATTCATATATTTGTGCGTGCGTGTGTGTGTATATATATATATATATATGCACATACCTGGAAATCCTTCACATAATTCTTTAATTGGAGTTGTTTGTTTTTTTTCACCGATTTTCTCATATTTTTGTTTATTTGTAGCAGCTTTGAGCCCTTGCCATGGTAATCCACCCCTTAAAAAGTACATGAATACATGACCAAGAGCCTCTAAATCATCACGTCTTGATTGCTCTATGATTTTAATTATTTTATAAAAAAAAATAAAAGTATTAAATAATTAAATAATTTATATAATTATGTGTATTTGAAAAGTATCTTTTTACCTCTTCCTAAATGAGTGTTGATGCTCATATATCTGGCTGTGCCACTTAAACTTTTCCTTTCCCGATATGGAATATGTTGTTTTGTTTTTGGATCTCGATATTGTTTGGCCATACCGAAATCAACAACATGGATTATATTTGCAATTCTTGTTGACGGTCTACCCACCAAAAAATTATCTGGTTTAATATCTCTATAAATCAGGTTCCTTTCATGAATAGTTTGTACCCTTGTAAGCTGTAGAATAGATATAATAATACATGAAAAAGATATAAATAAAAATATGCGTAGATATAAATGTAATGTGTATTAGTTTATTGATCTAATAATTTCACGAATATTTCACTCTCCCACTACAAGCTATATAATCCATATCTCCACATTCATCCTTTCTCACAAATTATCGCACACTCACACAACAATATGCATACCATTTGTTTTGCTACCATGACAACTGTTTTAATGCTAAATTTTCTTCCGCACATATCAAACAAATCCTCTAGACTGGGGCCAAGAAGATCAATCACTAGTATGTTGTGAAGGCCCTCTTGTCCAAAATAATATACATTTGGTATACCCGCTATACATTGAAATAAATATGAAAAGTGTGAATAATGGGTGTGATGTAAATGATAATAACAATACAGTAAAAGTTATCGAAAATGATGATTTACACATACGCGACCCTGCTAAAATTTTATATGTTCTATATTCATCTCGTAGCTGTGGTGCTTCACTTTTTCTTGGTTCCTGAAAATTTTAGATAATATTGATGATTATGATAAGTTTGTTTTTTTTTAAACCCGTTAAATTTGATCAAAACCAATTTTTCTTCTAAAATAATACATACAAACTTTATGGCAACTTGTTGGTTGTTTAACAAATTAGTCCCTAATCAAAAAAAAAAATTTTTTTTTAGATTGATTTACCGGATATACATCAAATGAATTTAATCGTATTCAAATAATAATCAAATCTCTCTTTGCTAGAATCATGTTTGCGTGTGAGCGTGTGAGAGAAATTATTTATTTGTAAAAATAATTCTTTGTGTGAATATTATTTTTCCTTTTGTTCTTTGCCTCTTTACCTTCAAAAATAACACCAAAGCTTCCTTCGCCGATTTTTTTTCCAACTCGGTAGTGAACGCCCACAACATTTGAGTGTAAATTGTGTGAACTATTTGGCATGTTATTTGTCATGTGATGGTGATGGTTTGCAGCCATCTTTGTTTTATTTATTTATTATTGTTATTATTATTGTAATCTTTAAAAGTATGAAAATTTCTAGATTTTTTTCCCTCTCCTATTAAATTAAATTATTATTATTTTATATGCTTTTTAATTAATTATAATTATTGGAGTGCGGGTTTGTGGACTTGTATTATTATATTATATATGCAATATATAATTATTTATATTAAGAATGTATGTAGAAAGGAAAATTGAAAACAAATTAAATTATTATGTTTTATTTTTTTAAATAGAAAAAGATGAAATTAAATTTTTTTTATTTTTTTTAAAGGAGAAAAATTTTTTTTTGCTATATTGTAATAAAAAAATGCAATGTATAAAATTGTGATTTATTAATTATATTATAAGAATATAGTAATAATAATATAATAAAATAAAATAAAAAATAGAAAATAGTCAAGTTTAAAAAACCTATTATTCTCTAATAGTTAATTAATTTTAATTAATTATTTGGTTATATAAATCTTTTTCTAATTTTTTTAAAAAACTTTTTTTTTCAAAAAAAAAAAAAAAAAAAAAAATTTACAAATAAATAAATAAAAAAAAAAAAAAATAAATAAATAATCGGTAATACAATAATGAATATTAATACATTTTTATTTTTTTTAAATATTAATACCCACGTATGCAAAAAGTGGACTCGAGAATTACCAGAAAAGGAAAAAAATAATAAATTTAAAATCGTGATTGGTCACTATTATAATGAATGTGATACAATGTATGTAGTTAAATCAAGCTGAAAAGATGTTTTTATATTTGTTTATTTTTTTTTTGAATTATCGTTTTTTTTTAATTAATTAATTAATTGATTAATTATTTTTTTTCTTCGCACTAACGCGATGACTAATTGTTGAATTTAGTAATTTTCTGCACAACGATTTACATGTTGAATGGGATAAATCGATCTTCTCTAAAAATCGGTTCATGTGAAAATTTTTAATTATTGTTATATGAAGCACACATATATGAGCAATGTAATATTTTTTGAATTCTCTTTTCAGAATGTCAAGACGAGGACAACAAACCAAAAAAAAATCATCCTTATCAAGTTTACCAACACCATCACCTAAAATTGCACTTATAACAGGTGCCAATAGGTAATTTTTAATTCAGTTTCATTGTTCCATTCATATATACATACATATTATTTATTATTGTGTTATTTGATTATTTATTTATTTATAGTGGAGTTGGATATGGAATAGCACAAAGATTGTTGAAGCATTCTATGGAAAATCCATCCGATACTTTTCATTTGATATTAGCTTGTAGAAATTCAATTCGCGCTGCTGTTGCGAGAGAATCATTATTGAAGGATTACCCGGGAAACCTTATAGATATTGTTACAGTTGATGTTAGCAGTGTTGAAGTAGTTTTCAAAAGTTGTAAAACAATTCGCGAAAGGTTTGTATTTGGGATTGTTTCTTTCTAATTTTCTTTGCTGCATTCTATATTTCTACTGACTGATTTATATTTATATTTGAATGGATGGATGGATGGATGGATGGATGAATAGATATGATCGTATTGATTTATTTTTCTGCAATGCAGGGATATTACAGTGTGATTATGTTGATTGGAAATTTGCAACAATTCAGGCATTTCTTGATCCATTCTCATTATTAACAAAATCAGAAGTTGTTGTCCAACCAATCGGCAAGGTCACAAAAGAAGGATTAGGAGAAACATTTGCTAGCAATTTTTTTGGACATTATATCATGGTAACGTAATAGCAGCAGCAGCAGCAGCAGCAGCAGTAATAATAATTTATTTATTTGTTGGATGTTTGGCAAGTAGATTAAATGATTGTTATTGTACAATTTTATTACAGATTAAAGAATTAGAAGATTTATTTATATCTTCGAGTCAAGGAGCTAGGATAATATGGACAAGTTCAATGACTCCTGCCAAGGATGATTTTGTTCTTGAGGATTTTCAATGTATTAAAGGGTAAAATTTTTTAATTAATTTACTAAATTACTTTTTTTATTTATTTATTTCACATAATTAACTAAGTTATCCAACCAACCAACCATTCATCCACCCAATCCATTCTCATTCAGGAAAAATCCATATGAATCATCAAAATATATTATAGACATAACATCAGTTGCACTTAATTTAAAACTAAATAAAAAAAGTATTCATACTTTTACTACTGAACCTGGCATAGTAGCCACAAATATTGTTAGAGTTCATCTTGGTTGGTTAGCTGCTGCTGCTATGTATATTGCATTTTACTTGGTAAAAATAGACGAAAAATTATTAATTTTATCAAGTATATATATAATATATATAAATTTCTTCCACCACAAACTAACCATTATCAAATATTTTTATATATATAGGGAAGATTTTTTGGAATAAATGAAGAAACAATTACGAGTTGGAATGGATCATACTCGAATTATTACGTTGCCATCACTAATCCTATAACTTTACTCAACACTTCAATTAAATATGGTAGTCGTGTTAAACCATTGGGAGATGTTTATGTTAATGAAGATACGATTGTTGATTATGATGAAGAAGTTTCCAATGCACTTTTAAATAAATTAGACGGTTTATTTAATGATTTCAAATCGAAATATCAAGAATAAAGTGACAAATTATTTTAAAATTAATAAAAAAAGATTTAATGTAGTACGATCCGAGTAATTCAGTAATTTGGAAAAGTCTTACCAAATATAGTGTAAATATATTTTTAGATTCCCAGAAAGTTTGGCCGAAAGAAAAATTCCTAAATTCGTACAACAAATTTAAATTTAAAGAATAAGAATTGTGAATGATTAGTGTAAAATGGTTGTCTGTCATAAAAAGAAATTGTGTTAGCATATTCTACGCCCATTTTGTTTGTTATCTGACAAAAATATTTTAAGCATAATATTTAAAAGTAAAACCGAAATTGGGAACGAGTAACACGCCATCTTGCTATTCGTCCAACACGTGCATGATTTTATTTCCCGAATTAGTGGTTCCTTGATTATTTATTTATCCGAATTGCGAACTTTAGAAATAATGACAATGGTTCTTGTTTGTTTGATTATTATTAATTCTTCACTCCTTACTCCATATGAAGTCATCAAATCCCTATTATTATCAATGCATGATTAAATTATGCATTTTTTTTAATAATTCTTGAAAAAATTTCACTAACCTACTAGACAATGGTAAATTAGTAGGTTCATTTATTATTTTTATTATATCCAAATAATAATAATTACAAAAGTACTTGGCCAATGGAATCATAGAAATTTGAATTAATTAATAATAATTTTAAAAAACATTAATCAGCCGGGAAAACTATCGCATGTCGCAGTCAGAACCAAAAATTTAAAAATATATAAATTAAAAACGACATTATTTTTCAATATCAACTATACATGCAGCCCAAATCGTTTTCCCGATGTCAAAGTAAAAGTCCATTAAAAACATGTTAATATTAATATGTGGAACGACCATGTCAAAACGATCAACATTAAAAAAAGAAATAATTATAATAATATTAATATAACATTCATATAAATTAACGAAATGCTTCGGATTTAACAAATCAAATTAAACAAATTTAAATAAAATGAAGATCAATTATTTACTCTTTCTATTATTCGCTTATCTTTACAGTTATTTTAATTCGAATTCAATCCACAGATGAACTAGAAGAAATAGGGAAGTATTAGATAGAAAAATGGAAATACATATATGTTTGTTATATTATTGTTATTCTTTCCTTTATATGCATGCAGACTTTTTGAAGTTAAAAATTCATTTTCATAAAAAATGGCTAATTCTTCAACTTTCTCCTGATTCAAAGCGTAAATTACAATATATATATATGTGTGTGTATGTGTGCACATGCGTAAAATTTTGAAGCTAGAAGATTACTAGTAGCAAGTTTAGTGCCTCTCTCTATTTTGTATGATTTTAATGTCCCCTGAAAAAAAGGTTTATGTATTAAAACTTGTGTAACGTTATTTAATATCAAATAAAATTATTTTCAACATTGAATGTAGTCCATATTTGGCAGTTGGATAAAATTTAACCAATAATAACATCTCGTCCAAAATAGAAAAAATGGTAAATATCAATTTGGTAAGTATACTTTTTACTACTGAATGTTTGTAAGGGCCTGCGTCCATACATGACTTTTAAACAGAAGGCAAAGCATTGTGTAGTGGACAATTTTCGCCGAGTTAACTGCAATTCATCAAACTATATATATATGCCTTGTGGAAAGTAAAGGGCCGTTTAATTAAAGTTGTTTCGGGAAAAAAGTACCGTGTATAATATCTATGATTAATTAATCGTGATCATAAACGTGTACACTCGTTGTTCATCGAGAAAACTAGACACTTTATTTTATTTTATTAAAATAATATTAAATTGGAAACACGAAATAAATTATTTTTTTCAAGTGTGTTGGTTGTTGACTAATGGTTTTCTATCATTTTTCCTATTAATAGTGCTAATAATGCATATTTTTTTTTTTAATATTCATAGATGCAAGGTAAAAGTTGAAATGTGCCACATGTAAGACTCGAATTGATTCGAATTGGATCACTTAATTTGATTCGTTTCATTCAAATTAAGTACGAGTCATGCTTTGATTCAATCTGAATCAATAAACAAATCAAACTTACAATCAATATATCTAATACATATATAATCAAAACATCTATTTTTAAAGTTATAGGTTGATATGTTATATAAATAATTAAAATTGTTTATATTGAAATTCTAAAGTCCAATATATATTTGCCTTTGGAAATAATTTCAAAAATTTATTTACCTAACTAGTACATTGAGTGTTTACATTTGGACTTTCCATCTATGACTGTGAATTGCTCCACTTCACTGTTTTTGTTGAGGCATCCATCATTTTAAACAATGCAATTAATTAATATTAATTATGAATTGTGTAACTGTAAATTGTGTTATTATCTTAATTAAAATGACACTAAGAAATCTTACGCTGACATGAAATGTCATAAAAACGGATATGGAAAACCGTTATATAGATAGAAAGATACTTGAATATTTTAATATTAATAGAAATTCAGAAAGATGGTCATATAAAAAATATTTACTCGTTTCAATTAGGGAATCACTAATTTTTTGCCTTTTCTGCGAGCAATCATGTAAGAAAACCCAGTGGGCATAAGTACGACTACGATGTTTGGGTTGTTGTGTTTTGCCTATGCTAATTTTTGTTACCGTTTAGTGGTAGGGTTATGGCGGTTGCTTAGTTGCTGGAGAATTCTTTCCAATTTATAGTGACTTCGGTTGAGATGTGACTTCCCAATTTGTACAGGGCTATTGACGTGAAGGGTTGAGAAGAGATGGGGACACTGTCTACAGGTAAAATAGTTTTATTGATTGCCAGTTTTTATGAAAGAACGACAGTGGTTATTGGTATTTTCCATTAATTGTGCTATAAATAATATATAATAAAAAATAAAGTCAACAAAGTAAATATAATGATAATGGAGATGACGTTTTAGTATCAAATCATTCTTTTCCGTCGCGTCATGTAAATTTCAATGAGTAAGTTAATATACCTTGAGAAAATCAATCGGGCAAATTAAGCATGTAATAATATAGTAAATCCTTCCAAATGCGGTGACTTACACATTAGACGCGGTTCTAATCAACTTTCAGGGTTCTGATTACATAATATATAATAATATAACCATGATAACTCACCCTTTAAAAAAAATTTTCAGATTTAGGTCGGCCGTAAGAAATCTTTTTATATATTAGTTTTTCAATATAAAAAAATACAGTTTATTCTTTATCCTTGTGGTCATAAAAGTATTTTTGCACCATTGCTTATTATAGTAATAGAGAGAAGTCTGCTATGACCGGGTTTTACTTTATAAAGGCCTGTTACAACTAATTGTCTTTTCTCGGAATAATGTCTTTTTAGAGTTTATTATATGATCGCGTAGTAAAAAATAATAAATCCACTTGTGGTCATTATTGCAAACATTTCATCATTTTTGGGCAATCATATGTGTCGTAATGTGGTGTACCAATGTAGTGTTACTTGATCATCTAGGAAGTAAGGATTTGTCAAAGAAGGATTTCTTGAACTTTGTTTTTAAGAATCAATCACTAGACAAGTTTGTTCCCATTCAGCTGATGGCCGTGATCGCTAAACTGAACACGATTCTACTATTTTTGGTGCGAGCAGTGGTTTAATCGCTATTAGTATTAGTGCTAATCATGAACTTGTACATTTCATAATGTTTCTTTGTGAGCGATAATAACTTCCAAAAAGAAATTATTGATGTTTGCTACTGTACTAAAAATGTTCTTGGCAAAGTGTTGGAGCGCAAAAGTAATTTCATTAAATTCTATTTTTGCTCAATTTATCGACTTGAGAAACTTTTATCTAAAGATAAGATGCCATTAAAAATTGATATTTTTAAATACACGTGACTCTCGTTAGGAAAAAAAAGTAAACTAACATACAATTCACTTTTTTTAAAATTATAAAATTTTGCGAAGCTTTAAAGTTAGGATATTTTTATATATACAGTACCTTATATAAAAATTTAAAATCTGTTTCCAAACATGTGATTACGTAACTAGAAAAAAACTTGTGGAAATGAGGCTTAAGACCTAATTTTTTGTTTTCATTGGTTTATTTGTTTCATTATCATAGAATTTTGTGATGTCGTGGAGTTCAAGGCTAGTACTATGAGATTATATTTAAATATATAATAAATTATCTGCATAATAAATTGGAGAATCTGCGTAATAATTTTGGGGTTGTTAAAAATAAAAAATAATAATAATAATAATTAATTATGCAAATTTTCAAATATTAAAAATATTAAAATAATTTTACATGGTTACAGCCCCCCAGTATATTTTTATTCGAATGTTGATTTTGACCAAAATTCAAATCTACAGGCGTTGTCTCCCGTAAAATATTATATAAAAATCTCTAATTGTTAGACGATATACCACCCAAGTTTTCTGTTTCTAAATTTAATTTTTATTAATTAATAATATTCGTTGATATCTAATCTATTCTGCTGGCATCACAGCAACATTTTTTTAAAAAATCATACCTATAGCTTTTGATATTATCTTACAATAAAACAAACAAAAATTCTACCAATGAATTCTTTTGTGGATCTTTATGCTAAACTTGGCTCTTTGTTGACCTTTTTCTTCATTATAAATCTACAAGGCTCATTCCATAATGTAAACCAGAAAATTGATAAAACAATTAATTCAATAGAGTCAGAAAAAAAAAACAAATTAAAATAGTTTTAAATAAAAAGGCCGAGCTGGAACTCCTCATTTAAGAAGATGGTGATCATAATTCGTGAATTACTTGGAGAATTGCTACTTCCATTATCAAAAAATTCTGTCAAAGAAAAGAAAGGGAGAACGAGAATGATGGTGATAATGATAACAAGAATGATAATGATAATGTGAGTGATGATGAGAATGATGATGATGATGAGAATGATGATGAGAATGAGAATGAGAATGATAATGATAATGATAATGATAATGAGAATGATAATGAGAATGAGAATGATAATGATAATGATAATGAGAATGAGAATGAGAATGAGAGTGA